ACGAGAGCTGGGCAACGCCAGGAGCACCTCTGCAGCGAGTTTATCAGTCTCCCGCAGAGCTCGTCTCAATTTCAGGCTGCTGAGAGCGAACTGGCCGGAGGAAAAGTGAGCCAGAGAAAGGTTGTTCCACACTAGGACGGATTCCCACTGGCCGGAGTCAGTAAAAGGTAGTGAGGAGCAGAGGACGTTCAAACGCTTCATCGTCTCTGCTTGCGCTCCCTAATGCACATAGGGAGGAAGAGGGGAGAAAAGGGTGTAAATGACCGGTCTGCAACACTAGGGATCAGAACACTACTCTCAGTGGTGGGCACGTTTGACTAGTCCATTGAGATTGGACGCGGTCAACATCTAATTCCTTATTTCTCTAGATGCACAACGTTTGTTTAAGCATTATCGAAGTGGGCATATCTAGAACCGGACTGGCACGATTATTGACTATGGGGCCATCCACTCCATTCTACGGTGCATGTTGGAAGTGTGAATTGTGTAACCAAATCTGCTTTTTAAGGAATCGTTGCTTTGGACTAACCCGCGTTATCGGTCTAACGATTGAAAAGTTCAGGGCTCGGTGGTAGAGCGCTCGACCTAAGAGCCAAAGATCCTCGGTTTGAATCCCAATTTCGCCCAACCTGGGGTTCAGTATTGCTGCCTGATGGCGGCCAATAAGCCAGAAATAGTAATTGGGGTTCTAGTAGAAAAATTATTCTACTTAGGCAGTACGCTCACCAAACAATAAAAACAACGATAAGGTCGCACACCTGAATTCAAAAGCTAGCTAGGCCTTCCACCCACTACAGATCACCATCTGAAATTACCGCGGACTTCGTCTTAACAGGTAGTTTAAAAGGTACATGACAATAGTCCCGAGAACGGTACTATACTGAACGGACGTATGGATCCTCCACGCAAAAAAGGGAAAAGTAATTGTTTCAACCTCAGGTGTCGTAGAACATTGAAGATGAGATGGCAGGATAGGATAACTGATATGGAAGTCCTGACAAGAACAGGAACCCTTGGTATTCACGCCATGATGAGGCAATTGCAAATACACTACGACGGCCAGCTTACGAGGAAAAATGACGACTATCTACTCAAATGAATCTTCTATTGAGGTCTCGCTACGAGTGCTTGCAAGCCAAGGCAGAAGCAACGATAAAAAGGCTCCCTGTCGAAATATTTCAAGGATCTACAAATAAACCTTGAGACTTGGGAGGACCTCGATAAAAACCGCTTTGTCTGGAGAAGAGTGGTGAAGACAGGAGCAATAATCTACAGAGCCAATCGGACCGCGCTGCATAAGAGCGGTATGCAAGATCAAGTGGCGCGGGCCAACAAACATAAAACACTTAAACTCTGCCGTCTTATACACATTGTCGTTGATGCTGTCTTGACATCGAGTGACAAAAGAGGGTGCAGTAGACGCTGCCCAAGTGTACCACTTATTCAAGGTCACCGTCTCTACGTCCAACGTAGTGTGGGGCACACGCTTGAGATCATCGTTCGCGATAATCCAATTGTCAGCAGAGGTTGGAGCAATCGTTTGGCTGAAGAAGCATCTGTCAAGCGTACCCTACGCGCATACCACACCTACATGGCTTAAGATTCAGCCCTTGGATAAAATTTAAAAATGTTACATGAAAATAAAATTGTAGACGGGAGGAAGGAAGGACGGATTAAGGCATGTGGTGAGTATTTATGCAATTCGACTGGGCGGAATGCTAGGGTACTTTTGTGACATTAGCAATTTTGTTTGAACACGGTTTTGAGATCTATATGAGTAAAAATTTGCACATGCGAAAACAATACATTTCCTTCATGTCATATAAACTGATGAATTGTGCGAAATAGTCTCTATGGCACGAATATCGTTCACAGGTTATTTTTTATGCCAGAAAAGGACCGCGCAGTATTATGTAACGATATGCCATACAACCAAATACACCTTTTCGAATATATGATTGCATTACTGTAGTATATAAGGCGCCATTTTACGTATACTAAATGAAATAAGAAGAAATGAAGTACCTGTAAGTATGACAGCTGGGCCCCGACAAAAGCAGAACACTGCGAGACGTCCCACACCTTTTGCTCATCTGAGTCAGTAGAAGGATGGGCAGATGCGTCAGCATTTTTTGTAGGAGTCGGTAGCGGCGACGCTTCTGCCATGGTAGTATCCTTGCCGCCTATCCTGGAACCGTAAGTGCTCTCCCACGGTGACTTCAAGGTAGTAGGAGCGGCTTTAGCAGCCTCTTCGAGACGGCCCGTAAGTAAGCATGACCGAAGATGGAAAAGACGAAGAGGGCTGCCAATGCCTCTTAATATCTCAGTGACCTGAGGCGAGAATGCTGGTGAAGTCTGGGATACAGTTCCGGTAGCGGTATCCACGGGAGATTTTATAGGGGTTGAGGTATCCTCTGTACTTATTACCTGTAAGAAGACACCTAAAATGGGCGATGACCGATTGTATGGAGTCGA